CCAGGAAGATCCCACATGCCGTGGGGCGGCTGGGCCCGTGAGTCACGGCCGCTGAGCCTGCGCGTCCGGAGCCTGTGCTTCGCAACGGAAAAGGCCACAACAGTGAGAGGCCCACTTACCGGAAGAAAAAAAAAAAAAGCTATAGAAAATTAATCTGTTTAATTTTGTATTAAATCAGCATTTTCCAAATATGCTTGACCACAGAATTCCTTTTTAAGAAACAAATAATACCTATTATTACCAGGTAATAAAGTGACTACCTTTCAACATAAAAGATTAGAGCATTAGGTACAAATCTTTTACTGAAACTAAATTAAAAGAATGATGTCTCCAGTTCTGTGTTGGAATCACAAGCTGAAGGTCTTGAACTTTAAATTAAGGACTCTCAGTCAACAAAGGTCCCTCAGTTACAATAATAAGTAAACAATTACAAATTCCTTAAAGAGTTTTGACTACTAAAAAAGTTATTAAAATTTAATAATAGCACCCAGAAGCCTCTGAATGATAGTTGGAAAGAGAGAAATGTAGCAGATTTTATTCTGTGGAGTCAAAACACAGCGGGAAAAGCCAGATGACTGACTCACCATGTGTGTGCATCTGGAGCTGTTCCTGTACTTATGACTGTGAAATTTGCTGACATATGTACCATCTCCAATCCAGGTTATCCTGTGGCCAAAGCCACACATTTACAATATATTTCACCATCATAATATCTTTTCAAAGTCCCTTAAAACAGCCTTTCTTTCTTTTTTATACCAATCCCTGAGATCTTAGTGCCTATCAAAGAGTCAAAACTCTGTCCCTAAACCTTAACTTAACCCTTAGACCGACTCTTGTTATCTGGATTGTTATTTCTTCAGGCCATTGGATATTTACGGCCTCAAGCGGCATCAAGGATACGATACCAAGCGTGAAAAATGTTGTTTGGAGGTGGCCTAATGTAATATTTAATTTCAAGTTCCAGCATCCTAGCTGTGTGACTTTGGGGAATTTACTTACCTGTTCCACACTATATACTTGTATGTAATACCACTTGAGGGTATTCAATAAATGCCAAAAGAACAAATGAAACATGGTTTCCTCAACCGTAACCTAGGTAACACTACAACTCACCTCACAGGCTCATTGGGTGGTATGTTATATTTGACATAGTACGTGTTCAGTAAATGTTAACAAGAGTGATCTAGATTCCTTTTTGTAATTTAAGTTCTGCCATCAAGACCTAGTGGATCACCCAGCAGGATTCTAGGAACGAGTTGTCCCTAATTCTAAGGGGATTTTGACAGTTAGCATAGACAGTGGTTGAGGAAAATGTTTCTGGTAAGGAGCAAGAAACAGATTGCTTCCAAAAAAGATTTACGTTTGAGTGTATAGGCTTCTGTGCTAAATCATAAGTTATGTCAGTTGTTTGCATAATAGCTAAAGTAAATAGTGTGAGATACTAATATCAATAACTGTTAAGAAACACAGTCCAACTTTCTTGAAGTCACTTTTCTTGTAAAAGGCTTATTCATACCTTTTTTGGACCAAAGAGATAAAAGATTGTTATACCTTGCAGGGGGTGAACGGTTTATGATGATGTGCCAGAGAGAGCATTAACTGGACTAGGCTCCAGATTTGAGTTCTAGTGTGACCTGGAGCAAACCACTTGACCTTTCCTACTTGTCTCATCTGTAAAATGTAGGCAGTAGTTAGACTCACAGAGGCCTTAGGGTGATTAAGACAGATAATAAGTGTGAGAGGTTTTTAAGTGGGAATAAGTTACTTGTCAAGATTGGCATGATTTGTAGCGTCTAAATGATTGTTCAACATCTTTACATAATAATTCTGTGATGGTGTTTTAGAGTTAAAAAAGGAAAATATGGATGTCCATGTTTCCTAAAAAGCTGAGTAGAAGGAACCCTGGACTTGGCGTCTGAAGTGTAAATTTGCCTTTCATCCTGTTACTTGTTAGCTTCTTATGTGATCTGGTGCAAGTCACACTGAATCTCAGGTTGTTTCTCACCTGCAATATACGTTGGTAATATATGCTTTCACCAACTTCACAGAGTCACTTTGAGGATGTATTTAATAGTACTGTGTACACTGTGAACTGTAAGGTCATTCATTTACTCATCCATTGAACAAATCCTTACTGAGTACAGGCTCTGCCCCAGACACTGTACCACGTGCTGGGGCAGAGTCCTGCCCTCGTGCGGGTTATAGCCAATGGGAAAGTTCCTACAGTAAACTGGTAGACATACAAATTAACCTATAAGTAGCATAATGATTAGTGCTACTAAGCAGAAGAGCAAATGTCAGGAGAAAGTGACAAAGAGACCTAATTTAGATTGGGATGGTTGAGGAAGGCATTCCT